GAATGCATGTATAAGATAGATAAATTTTATAGTGTCATGTTTAAAAACCCCAGCATGGAAAAGGACTTGGAAAACTATGATCATAACTTTAGAAGATGTTTCAATGGTAACATATTTACCTATGAAACAATTTCAAGGACTTTATAGCATGAAATATAGGAAAGTTTTAGCTTATATATTTGCTCTATTATATGCTACACACAGCTTTCTTTAGGAAAGTAGGGGTTCATATAGATAAATTTGGGCTGCTTCATATCCCGTATCCAGTATTTGTGAGAATATAATATTGGGTTTTGAATTAATGTATCAATCAACAGCCATGGTTGTGTGGTCAACCATGTCCAGATGAGGAGAGAGAATGGGGCTAACTGAGCGTTTGATTACAACTACATTGAATAGCAATTCTTCTTCTTCTTTTGCTTTAACATAATTAGCCCTCTCTTCATTGTTGGTGGAGGAACTCCTACATTCATTGGCATAATGGTCATATTTGTGACAAGCATAACATGGAATATTGGACTTGTCATATGTTCTTCCACTTCCTCTCTTTGAACCATAGTTTCCACGTCCTCATGGTTGATTGCTCGACCCTTCATTGTTAAAATTCTGGCCACCTTCATTTCTTCCTTGGCCACGGCCAAAATTTCCTCCTCGACCACAACCACAACTTTAGCCTCGACCTCGACTTTGACCTCTTCCTTGAGTTCGTCCATGCTCTTGCTCTTATTCTCCCAAAGAGACCTTAGTTTGGAAAACTTGGGCCACCGGTTCTTGCTTCCTTTTAAGTCTTTCTTCATAAGCTTGCAAGGACCCCATGAGTTGATCGAGGGTCATGGAATCCAGGTCATTTGATTCTTCAATGGCAACACTCACAAAATCAAGTTTTGAGTCAAGTGACCTAAGAATCTTGTCCACAACACGTACATCTTCAATCTTCTCTCCATAATGCTTCATTTGATTGACAATGGAAGACACTCTAGTGAAATAGTCGAAAACAGATTCAGACTCCCTCATATGTAGGGATTCAAATTCATTGCGAAGTGTCTGAAGGCGGACCTTCTTCACTTTGTCAATTCCTTTAAAATTATTCTCAAGAATTCCCCAGGCTTCCTTAGCCTTTGTTGTAGTAGCAACTTTCTCAAATAGAGCTTCATCCATGCCCATGTGTATGATAGAGAGGGTATGTTGATCTTGCTTTCGAAGCTTTTGCAAAGCATTCTTTTGATTTTGATTCAAGACTCCTTCATTCTCTGGTTCATCATAGCCTTTCTCAACAACCTCCCATGCTTCTTGTGAGCCAAGCAATGCCTTCATGTGGATACACCAATGTCCATAATTCTCCTTTTTAAGTTTGGGAACTACAAAGGGAAAAGTGCTATTCATCTTTGGAAGTTAGCTCTGATACCACTTTGTTGGAAATAAAAAATTTGGGAGGAAAGACTAGAGAAGAACACAAGAAGAAACTTTCCAGAAATGCTTCCTTATTCTGGGCTTGGATATATCAATGCTCAAGTACAAGCACAAGCCATTTTATAGGCACAAAAGACTCTAAACCCAAAACAGTTAAATGCAACTCCTAGAAATTGTAAAGATAAAATAAATGGGTACATGAACTATGCTGGCACATGAACTATGTAGGTACATGACTAAAAATAGGAGATTAATAAATCAAGTTTATTTCTCCAATAGAGGGTTGTATCTACAAACCATTTTCTCATTTCCACTAATACTTGATTGGATTCACTTTTGTTCTCGTTCCATTGATGATGTAACTTCCATAGAGATTCCCTTACTGCAGATTCTCGTACATGTTTGAGCGTCTCAAGCCTATAACTTGAGAGGAGATCAATAGCTACACTCTTGCGCATTTGAATCTAGAAAGGTCCATAAGGGGCGAAGCCAAACATGGCATTGTTGTAGGCTATGACTTCTGTGGCAACAATCTTTGGACGATTAGCAAAGGCTTTATCATTAGTAGTGAGGCACTCTTTGGCAATCTGCTGATCACTCACTATTAAAGCCTTATAGGCACCCAACTTAATGGTGAAGATTGGTCCGTATTTGTCGACCATGTTGCAAGAGTTATGTGGGCTGGTTATGGCCTTGCGAGGAGGTGGAAGTGACCAATGATAGGCAAGGAGCCGCTAGCTTGTGGCATTGTTCTCTTGTTAATTCTCTTTGTGAAGAGATGTTTAGATATCAAAAGAAAAAGGAATAACAAGAGCAGAAAGAAGACATTGAAATACATAGGATGACAGAAAAGATACATTGCTACGTTTGAAGTGAGAAATCATAGTGATTGTACTTCCAAATATATAGGAGGCAGACGACTAAAAAACTGTTAAAAAACCAAGGAATTCTAGAGAAGAAGAAAATGGAGTGAAAATCAAACTCACTTTAAAATGAAAATCAACTAGCCTTTAAATAGGCTTTACAAGATAACTTTATCTAAAAAGATAACTAACCAATCTTATCTAATTTATTTTAAATGATAACAACCTAACAACCTAAATAATAGGAAAAATAAATAAATAACTTAGACTCCTTAAATTATAGAGATAATGGCTACAAACTATGATCTAATTTCCAACAATCCCTCCCTTAAACTGAAAGTATTCAACTTCAGTTTAAAGAAACCTGGAATTTGTAGACCCTTCCTAAAACTAAATTCTGCATACTGCAAACACCAAGTAACTCTTTTAGTCTTGAAAAGGTTGCTACTTTGAGGGGTTTTGTGAATATATCAGTAACTTGATCTTTTGTTCTACAATAAGTCAACTCAATTGTTCCATCTTCTACCAAGTTGCGCAAGAAATGATACCTCACATGTATATGCTTGCTTCTCCCATGTAGAATTGGATTTTTAGAAAGCTTGATAGCTGAACTGTTATCACAATAAATTGAAATGAACTCATGTTGATTCATCTCAAGTTCTTCTAGAATTCTTCTCAAGTTCTTCTAGAATTCTTCTCAACCAAATAGCTTGACAAGCATAAGAAGTTGCTGCCACTTACTCTGCTTCTGTTGTGGACAAAGTCACAATGGGCTGTTTCTTTGAAGACCACGAAACTGCCCCAAATCCCAACATAAAAACAAACCTAGAAGTGTTTTTTCTGTCATCCAAATCTCCAACATAATCATTATCTATAAAACCTATGAAATTTTTCTGGTCACCCTTCTTGTAGAATAGTCCAAAATTTGCAATTTCATGTAAATATCTGAGAATTCTTTTAGCAGTCTACAAGTGCAACTCCTTTGGATGCTCCATATATCTGCTAATCAAACTTACACCGTGCATTATGTCTAGTCTTGTTACTGCCATATACATCAAACTTCCAACAATCTGCTTGTACAGTTTACTGTTCATAGATCTGCCTCTTGGATCTTTCACGAGCTTTACACCTTTGTCAACTGGTGTAGTGACAGAATTGCAGTTCTTCATTTGAAATTTGTTCGAAACTTCCTGCACATTTTTTCTGACAAACAAAAATTCTAGAATCTGATTGTATTACTTCCACACTAAGAAAATAATGCAATAAACCCAGATTTGTCATATCAAATTCAAGCTTCATGGATTGCTTGAACTTTTCCATCATGCCAAGATCATTCCCAGTATAAATTAAATCATCAACATATAAGCATACTATAATCAATTTACCTCCATCTCCAAATTTGATGTAAAATGTATGCTTATAAAGGCACTTCTGAAAACCTTCCTTCAAGAAATAAGTATCAATTTGACTATACCAAACTCTAGGTTCTTGTTTTAGTCTATATAATGCTTTCTTCAATTTGTAAACCTTGTGCTCAAAACCAGATTTCACATAACCAGAAGGTTGATCAATAAATACCTGTTCTTGCAGATCTCTATGCAAGAAGGCCGATTTCGCATCAAGCTGGTAGATCGGCCATGAGTTCTGTGCTGCCAATGCAATCACCAATCTGATGGTATCCATCCTTGCAACTGGAGCAAAAACTTCTTGATAATCAATGCCAAACTCTTGCTTGTAACCTTTTGCCACCAAGCAAGCCTTGAATTTGTCAACCTCCCCATTTTCTTTGAGCTTAGTTTTGTAGATCCATTTAACACCAATTTTTTTGTGTCCTTCTAGAAGATCTGTCAACTCCCAAGTCTAGTTCCTTTTAATAGAACCAATTTCTTCTTCCATGGCTTTTTGCCACTTTTCTTCTTTAATGGCCTCTTCATATGTCAATGGATCACAATTGGCAAATAAAGCAAAGTGAATGACTGGAACATCATCTTGAGGTAGATTCGTTACTTCATAATCCTCCAACCATGCTGGTCTTCTCTTTTTACATTGAGGTTGTGAACTAGTTCTAGATTCCAGTTCTTGAGTTGTCGATAGACTTTCTCCAGTATTGAGCTCTACTTTTGCAGGCATACTTTCTTTAGTTGTCTGTCTTGAAACTTCGAGATCTGCTGAAGTTAAACCTTTAGTCTGTTGTGTTTGACCTTCTAAGTTTTGCATAGTCAGATCTTCTCCATTTTTGAAATCTACAGAAATCTGTCACCCATATTTTTCTGTCCAAGAGCAGGTGCTTGCTTTATCAAACACTACATCACGGCTAATGATGACCTTCTTGGTTAAAGGATTGTATAATCTATAAGCTTTGGATTGATCACTAACACCAAGGAAAATACACTTTTCCCCTTTGTCATCAAGCTTACTCCTTTTCTGATTTGGCACATGTGCAGATGCTATGCACCCAAAACTTCTAAAGTAGTCAACAGCAGGTCTGTGTCTAGTCCAAGCCTCTCTTGGCGTCATATTTGGAAGTGGAGATGTGGGACTTCTGTTCAAGATATGAACACTCCAATTAACAACTTTTGGCCAAGACTCCTTAAGCAAGTCGTTCTTGGACATCAAACTTCGCACCATATTCATGATTGTGCGATTCCTCCTTTCATATACACCATTCTGCTAGGTGTATAAGCTGCTGTGAGTTGTCTTTTAATGCCATTGGACTCACAAAAATCTGCAAATTCCTTTGAGTTAAACTCACCACCACGATCTATACACAAAACCTTTACAAATCTGCCAGCCTCATTCTCAGCAAGACTTTAAAATTTTTAAAGGCTGCTAAGGCTTCTGACTTAGTCTACAAAAAACACACCCATGTTTTGTGATTGTAGTCATCAACAAAGGTAATAAAGTATTGTTTTACCTCCATTTGATGTTGGATTTATGGGTCCACACAAATCAAAATGAACTAGATCTAGCACTCACTTTACTCTCCAAGATCTGTCTTTAGGAAAGCTGTCACAGTGCTACTTACTAACCACTCAAATTTCACAATTTTCTTAAGGATAATCAAAATGAGGGAGACCATTTACCATCTTCTTCTACTGCAAAGCTTTCAACCCACCAAAATAAAGATGTCCATATCAGCAATGCCATAACCAAGTTGTGTCCTTCAATTTGGCAGATAAATATGACAGATTTGTGGTCTACAAGTACAATGGAAGCAACCTATTTTCCATCATCTTGACCTTTGCAATCAAGCCAAGCTTTGAATCACGAACTTGGCAAACTCCATTTTTAATCAAAATTTCATATCCTTTCTCTTGAAGTTGTTCCAGACTAAGTAGATTCGACTTCAAATCTGGTACATATAGAACATTAACAATAGTTTGAATTGAATTGTCTTTGGTGAATGGTTACCTTTCCTCTTCCCTTGATTGCAATAGTGGAATTATCACCAAATTTCACCTTGTCTTGAAAAGACTCATCCATATATGAAAGTGCAGAGTTGTCTTTACACATGTGGTTGCTGCAGCCAGTATCCAGATACCACACATTCTTCTTGCTAACTTCTTTAGGATGACAGACCATGAATAGAGAGGAATCATCATTCTTCTTATTGTGTTATGCAAAGTTAGAACTTTCTCCTCTATTCAGATTAGCATGGCATTTAGAACCATAATGGCTGCACTTATGACATCTGAAACATTCAACATTTGCCTTGCCTACAGATTTGGATCTGTTATCTGCAGCTTGATAATTTCTGTTTTGCCACCTCTTTTGATTTCCAGTTGTTGAACTTTCCTCCAATTTGTCAGATCTCGGTTTGCCAGATCTTGGTCTGCTTTTCAGTTTTCTTTTCCTCGACTTACAGCCCTTGAATTAACTGTGGTCTGCAAAGCTTGCGTCTGCAAAATCTACACCGCTTGCTTTTGTTTGTCTTGGCGATTTATCTTCCACTCATGAATTAATAATGAGTTCTGCAACTCATCAAGGGAAAATGCCTCAATATCATTTGACTCTTCAATTGAACAGACAACATAATTGAATTTTGTTGTCATAGACCAAAGAATTTTCTCAACTACGTCAACATCTTCCATATTTTCACCATGTATCCTCATCTTGGTTGCAATTGCCATCGTTCTTGAAAAATAGTCATCTACAGATTCACCAATTTTCATCTGCAAACTTTCAAATTATGCCACCAAAGCTTGGCAGTGCTGCTGCTTTGCTCTTTCATTCCCTTGGTACTTCTTCTTCTTGGAATCCCAAATAGTCTTGGAAGTAGACTTGTTAAGAATTATTTCCAAGATAGCATGATCTATGGCTTGGAACAAATAGTTCTTAGCCTTGAGATCCTTCAACTTTTCCTTCTCAATTTTTACCCTCTATGCATTGTTTGCACCTACCGTTGGTTCTGGAACTCCAGCTTCAACAACTGTCCAATACTGTTTGGACCTGAGGTAATTCTCCATCAACATACTCCAATGGTTATAGTGATGACCATCAAAACGAGGGATTGAGGGCTGGACATAAATTTCGAAAGCCATGGAATTTGCTAGGAATAGGCTCTGATACCAAATGTTAAAAAACCAAGGAATTCCAGAGAAGAAGAAAATGGAGTGAAAATCAAAATGGAGTGAAAATCAAACCCACGTTAAATGAAAATTAACTAGCCTTTAAATAGGCTTCACAAGATAACTTTATCTAAAAAGATAACTAACCAATCTTATTTAATCTATTTTAAATAAGGTTAAATCCCCATTTTGGTCCCTGAACTATTGTATGGACCCCCGATTTGGTCCCTGAACTAAAGAAATCCCTGATTTAGTCCTTAAACTATTGTACAGACCCCTAATTTGGTCCCCAATGTTTATAATTTGGCCTAAGTTGGTCCTTGAACTATTGTGTGGACCCCCAATTTGGTCCTTACTGTTTACAATTTCACCCCAATTTGGTCCCTGAGCTATTATTTAACAGAAGGACCAAGTTGGGGTTAAATTGGTAAACAGTATGGACCAAATTGGGCATCCGTACAATAGTTTAAGGACTAACTTGGGAGTCCGTACAATAGTTTATGGACCAAATTAGGGGTCCGTACAACAGTTCAAGGACCAAATTAGGGATTTCTTTAGTTCAGGGACCAAATCGGGGGTCCGTACAATAGTTCAGGGACCAAAATAGGGGTTTAACCTTTAAATAATAACAACCTAACAACCTAAATTATAGGAAAAACAAATAAATAACTTAAACTTCCTAAATTATAGAGATAATGGCTAAAAACTAGGA